ATTCTCATCCGTTACGCGAAGCAACTGAAAATCTCTATAATACAACCCCAAAAGACGAACTTGATATGACAGGGTGAGGCGAGGTTCTGTTTTTCTCTACTCCCTAGACTCCGGATAGGTAAGTACCTTTACTCATGAGAAACCTTCGAACAATTCTCATCTTCCCTTCCCAATTCTAGGAATATCTTCGAAATCAGTTGAACTTCGAGATGACTCACCTCCCACACTCAACTCAAGTTTGTGAATTATTCTAGATCCAAGTTCCTTTCGTACGCGATCATCTCGGAGGGAATTAGAGACTACTATCGTTGCGAAGTGCGAAGATTCGAAGACGTGAGTACACTTTGATCAAACTTTCAGGAAGATGTAGCACTCACCCTGACAGGCTCTCTCTAAAAGTACATACCACAATTACACCATGGGCTCTTCGTGAACCCTGCGCGTTCAGAACTCTGTGCTGAAATTCCACCTGACGTATAAGGGTGCTCGACATCTGGTCATTTATACCTCAGGCTCGCATTCATTGTCAAGTCCAGAATCCAGATCAACCGTCAAGCTTTCTAGGCTGGTTGATTGGTGGTGGTCACTGGTAGGACCCCCGGCAGCCACCCAAAATGTTTGCGCCCTCGAATGGTCACTTTTACCCGAATGAAAAATGGGTCCAAAATCGCCAGTTTTACCCGAATTTGACCCAAGGTTCGCCGGAGCCCCCATTTTTACCCGATTTTGGGTCCCAGACATGTCCCAAATTAGCTGATTTCAAGAGCTAGCTGTAGCAGCCCGTACTGGGCCTGTAATGGCTCGTACTACCCAGAGCTTACTGCTGTTACACGTAGCTCAGAGGTATATAGTATCAATCATCTACTGCTAGAGGTTTGAGGTTCGAATCCCCTTGCTTACTGTCATTTTTACCCGAACAGACCCCCCCAGTGCTTCAAAAATGCTTCATTTTTACCCGATTATAGGCCCGAAACATTACAAAAATTTCTGGTCATTTTTACCCGAATCGGGCGCTGACCACCCTCCACAAACCACCTCATTTTTACCCGAATGCGAACTTACATTTGGGTGGGCTGCCGGGGGTCCTTCACTGGTTGGCAAGTGAATTATGATTTTCCAGATAAGAGTCTATTAAAGGATACTTACGCGAGCCGACGGTGTTGACTGTTCACATATAAAGGACGCACGATGTCCATAGTTGCTATTCTGCTGGTCTTGATCACCCACTACTTTCTTTGCTGGTCAAAGAAGTCTTCGCTCTATCTTGGCGTCTTCCGAGTATTCATCCGTCTTCGTTCTTGCGGATTATCATCCACTCGAGTTGAGCGTTGTTGCCGCATCTATCCAAACGCTTGTCACCTTCGCTGTAAATTGTAAGGAATTATCTTGCACTCCAAGTCTCAACGCACACTCTGACCCAATTACCTTTGCTCCCTCACTTTTCCTAGTGTACACGTATCCAGAGAATTACCCTGATGCGCTTCTACATCATTGCCTATTACTTCCTTCTGGGAACCTTCGCCGGTGCCAGCTATGCGGTCCCCATAGCAGGCTCAGAGGTACGCAGTCGACAGTTCAACAACGTCCAGTTTTTGCCCCTCCACTCTTTGTCTCGAAGTTTCCTGACTCTGATGATCCCGCTTGGTACAGGTTCAATCGGTTCCTGCCGACCATTGCGATCTCGATGGACCAGTCGCGCGCCGCGGGCTATTTTCAAGTTGCTTCGGAGCACCGAAGGGGCCAGTTATCGAGTGGGTATTCCTTCCGGAAGGGCAGAAGCAGGACTCCACCCGGAATGCTGTAGCAGAGAAACTAGTCAAAACCCTCCTCAAACCATATGGTCGCCCAGAAAGGGTTGAAGGCAGTCCTACATTGTCTGGAAACCCTGATGCTTTCTCTATCGCTATCAAATCTGCGGTGGTCATAGATGGGGGCTCGTATCGCCATACGTGCCCTTGTGACGAGGTCTCGATCAAAGTCAACGAGGGTAGAATCCAGCTGTTGGTATACAAGTCATTGAGACAAAAGAAACTTGCTAGGGTGAGACAGTAGGCTATAGTCAGTCTTTGTCTACTACATAGATGATTAGCTTTCGCGGCTTAGCAATACTATCGTGTATACAGATACTGACAAAGTCTTCCTCTTAAAGCTTCCCTTTCCCCTTCGCCAAGTTCTTCTCAATGGGAACAGTGACAGCCATCTGAGTCGATACCGCAAGACAGACCTGATCATCTCGCCAACCTTCCACTATCTGAACGTCTTCTCCAATATCGCAAGGAGCAGTCCACACTTCCGTGTACGAATTATGTCGACCCATAGCGCCGTGTAAGAAGCTCGTCGAAGAGAAGACGCCTACGGTTCGGTTCGAATGCACGCTCGAGCGCTTGGGTATGGCGAATTTGTATTCTATGGTCATCGTCAGCGTTGGAAACCAGCTACACAACCGATTGATGTTGAGCGAATGACCGACAGGAGGAGTAAGAGTTTTCTTGACTTGCCTAGTTCCTAGCCCTTTCCTGTGTTCTGCCGGGAGAAGCAGCACCGCACCAGAGGATATATCTGCGAATAGAGGAAGCCCTGAAGCCGTCACTGCTTCGGTATCTACCATTTTGTGTTCACTCCCTTTGGTCTGATCTCTGCTTAGCCCGCACCAGAACCCACTCTGCAGGCCGCCTCCACCGACGGTCTCTGCATTAGTTCTATGAGGACTGTCAACGTCGTTCTGGGCAGAAAGTTCAGGTTCTCGAGTGAACTCGAGTCTGGAATGGAATTTCAACCGTAAAGGAACAGAGGTTCGTGGTGCGGTGCGAGGATGTTGGTAAAGAGGTAGACGACGGGCGTACGGAGAAGGGGAAGTAGAGATATGTTATTCGATTGTTCGCCCCTGATTCCAGGACTTTGAGGAGGAGGTTCAAGGATGCCGAATATGAGATGAGATTTGATTCTGGTAGAGCCCTGAAGTGTACTGAGACGACTTGAGAGAATGAAGAATGAATGTAAAAGACTTACATTTTGAATCAAATCCGCCTCTAGATTGGTAAAGCTCCTTCCTTTCTTCAGTAAACACACGCGTACTTCAAATGCCGATGCAGAGGGTGAGCTCAAGAAATGCGCGGTAACATGGATCGGGTCCGGATGGTGAGAAGAACGCTGTTTACAGATACAGCTCTCGACAATCTGGCCCAACGCGTATCCTGAGAGAAATCAGATATGAATGTCGCAGTAAGTTTCCGACTGTGGTCATGAAATATAGAGCATCGCTCTACCTCCGTTCGGTACCCTGAGCTTGAATGTGAGATAGAGTTATCTAGATCACAGTGGGCAACGACTCACACACCAATACACCATTCTGGGTCCATTTCTCCTATGTACACGTCAACATCGCCAGAACTGGATTGCTTTGTGACTTTGATTGCTTCGCTCAAGAGCATAGTCGACTATTGATCAGTTTCTCCGTCTTTCGCTAGCAATCAAGCCTCGGATTACAAGGGAGTGTGGCTTCAAAGAACGAAATATAGGACTTGGTAGCCTTGAAGGAAGAAGACATAAAAGTCAAAGCAAAGGTTTTGAGGGAAGCGCCTAAGCACATGAAATCTATCGGCAACTATCGGCAACCATTTGCCCTTTGCCGCTCGTCCGAACAAAGCTGAACAAAGTCGGCTACACATTGAACGATGAACACAACGTCTATCTTCTACTTGCTCACAACGACGACCCATCTCTGAACCCACCCGATACGAAGAAGTGCTGCCTGCCAAATCATCATGGATCTCTTCCCATTCCATCCCTGTTCACATCCATTATCTCTTTCACCAAAATCCCCACCCCGAACAGTCTGACAAAGAGCCGATGCGTGGTCGGAAGACGAGTTCGTGCAGGAGAGAATATGTGGAGCCGATGAATCCGATGACAATGATGTGCAAACTGACGATAGGATTTCTATAACATGCTTGAGAGAGAGTAGTAGAGGCGTAGGCGTAGGCTTTGAAGCATCGTCTGCCAGGTCTGAATACGTGAACGAAATCGCACACAGCACGAACTCTTTACTGAGCCATTTGACTTGCGGGGCGAGAACATTGAACTCGACAAGACCTTGGCCTCCAGAAGGTATAGACACGACGAACGTTTTCAGGATAAGCTCGAGCGATGCGTACGATGCGTAATCTAAATCGATCTTGATACTACTTCGTATATGCTGTCCGAATTGTTCAAGAGGTGTGTCGAATGGCTTGGGAGCAAACTGGGTAGAAGTTTCAGCTGTTGCTGTTGAAGTTCCACCGTATCCTGCCAGCAAGACCCAGCTGGACACGCTAGCCCAGATTTTCCTCCCGACTTTGAGTTGAATGCGGTAATCGTTGACTTCTAGTGTCCCATTGAGTAGCAAGTCCAGAGGATGGACATACCCAGGCTCGTTCTTGTTGTTGCCGTTGTCGATCCACTGGTCCCTCAATTCTAGCTTCCCAGAGATAAGGCTTGCCAGGAGAAGAGCTAGATCAATCTGAATGGTGTTGTCCCTCAGTGGTGTCAGTCGGAGAAGGAAACCTGTAGGAAAACGAGACTTTGACAGAGGAGTTGGAACAACAAAGGTCGAGAGAGAGCGCGCGAGTCGGTTCCGGGTGTGTAGTGAATTGAGGGACGCGATACTCGTATTCATAGTGGGGGTAGCAGCAGATTTCTTTCTTGAAAATATATAATGGAGTGACACCAGAAGCGAACAGCAGAACAGAGCAGGTACGAGAAGGATGGGTGAATGAGAAATCGAATTGAGGATGTCTTCAGGTGAGTATTGGAACAGAGCCAATCGAGTCCTGAGCCAGTTGATATCTTGAGTATAGTTGCGTATTCTCAATGATTCTGGTAGCAGCATCTTCGACTTGAGCGTCGTAACGTTGACGTTGATAGCTGAGACTCGAGAGCATTTCGAGCGAGAACGTGGAAGGACTTGCTGTTTGGAAATGCATACGATAGTCGAGGTTGAGTATAGATCGTCTGCAACAGAAGCCCCCGTTGTCTAATGGTTATGACGTCAGACTTCTAATCTGGAGGTTGCGGGTTCGAGTCCCGCCGGGGTTATCCATAACTGATATATGATGGTTTTTTTAGTGCTGGGTAAATGTAAAGCTTGTAAATTACAAATCCATTTTTTACAGGTTTTTTACATGTAAATTTACATTTTTTACTGAAACCCCCCAAATTGTCCTGTAAAATACCTGTAAATATTCATCATATACCTAGCTCAGGGCAGGCTGTGCCGCTATCAAGGTGCATGAATCACCAGCAGATCATCAGCCAAAAAGGGTAGCTATGGATGACAATGAACTCAAGGGACTCAGGTCAATGCAGGAGGTAGTCCACTGTGGACTGACATACTTGACACACAAATTTACATTATTTACATCCATATTTTACATGTAAAATTTGTAAAAAACCTGTAAAATTTTCCGCGCTGCGCGCGCGATTTTTTACAAACTTACACTGTAAAAAAAGCCTTACAATGGTCCTCGCAGGACCCTTACATTTTTTACTGCCAGAAGTTGAATTTTACCCAGCACTAGTTTTTTTGTTGTTAGTTTCGCTTGCAATCTAAATGATAGTTCATCCGTGAGTGATGGGCGAAGCAGATCCAATGTGATCTAAAGAATGTACATAGTTGCGACAGAGTAAATTGTACATTCCTCGATACGCTTTGACCTAAGAAATTTACACATTTTGGTAATTATATCTCGTCTCGTAAACATTGAAGTAGCCCCTCGGATTCTGAAGATCGCGCAAAGAATTGACATTGAAATTCTGGAATAGAACTTGTGGACGAGATTAGCCAGGCCACAGAACACTTAAAAGAAAACTCTTACTTGAGAATATCTTTGCTCGACCCTTGCCTATTAGCTGCGAGGTTGATAGATGTCGCCGGCGCACGTTCAATGCGCAGAACCCAAAGAATTGTGCATATGTCGATGAACAATGCATTGTCAGCGACATGACGTCCCACACAGACTCTGTGATTCTTCAGTGTTATGGATGATCATAGAGCGAGAGAGAGACATTCATACCTCCTCCCAAACCCATACCCGCAATGTCCATCTTCGTTTTCGTACTCGGGTCGAAGTTCGAAACCAGGTCCCTTCTCAGACTGTCGTAAGAATCGTTCTGGTCGAAACTCGTTAGCATCAGGTCCGTATATTTTCTTGTCGCGGTTGATAGACCTGGAAAGAAAACCAATCAGATTTCCTCCATTTGAAGTCCAAGAATGAGTGGACTTTCCATATATTTGGAATACACAAGGTGCCCTTGGGGATCAAATAACCTTCGTACCAGTCATCCTGAAGGAGACAATGTTCAACGAAGAACTGATACCAGGCAGACCTATCGCTCACCTCCATCACAGTATGAGGTACCGCCAATGGTACTGCAGGTTGCCATCTTAGAACCTAAAAAATTCGAGTGACGCAGAGTCAGATTCAAATATCTTCACTGGGACAGCCTTGAAACAAACCTCTTTAACGATTGCCCTAATGTATGGGAGGTGTTTCATATCAGCGAAAGTCGGGTTTCTTGATCTCCCCACGACGCGGTCTATTTCCAGTTGGGCTTCCCTTTGAACTTCCGGATGGAGCGTCATGGCGTAGAGGAAGTACGATAAGGTAGTGCTAGTCTGGTTGCAAAATTGAGATCATTCAAGAATTCTAGCGTACATTGATTGAACGCACAGTTTCTAGAGCTGCAACACTTTTGGCTCTATGTCAGAAAATTCCTTTGAGTTGGTGTGAACACCACATACGAAAGGGAACCAGCGACCCATGCATTCTCTAGATCACTTAATCCACTTGCACCCTGTTCATCCGCTAGTTTCAAGCAAAGACTTGCCCGATGTTGGCCGTTCTTGACCTGTCCAAAAAAATATTCAGCATTCAAAACTCAATGCCATGAATCATAGCACGAACTCACCGCATCATTGAAGTAGTTTTCAAATCTTTCGGTGATGCGCTGGAAGTCCCTTTGCGCCTCCCTTTTCCATTTTGCAATCGCTAAAGGCAGACGATCTAGTATCGGCATGAAGTCCACGAAATGGGCCCCCGGCACCACGGCACTGGTGAATCGATGTGCAATGTTACTGAGAGTTTCAAGAGGATCTGAAGTAAGTTGTAGCGTATCAGGGGACTCAGGCCTATTTGATGATTGAGCTTGTGGTAAACCATCGACTACTTTCTCTGCCCGCACAGAAGAGAGAGTTCGCTTGCCATAAATGACGGAAATGATAGTCGACGCAGAGCTAGGGCAATGAGATGAGGAGCGGAGGAAAGTATGATATTCAAGTTCATACCTATTAATCTTTGCGATCAGAGGGCGGGAGTTGTCATGTAGCAGACCATGAGCTAAGATGATTGCTTCTTCGACCTGAAGTGGGTTATATTCTGTGCTGACTCGTGTATTCAAAACAGCATGGCCAGCACGTCGTATGGTCTGCCACCTATAACAGACATCAGTAACAAAAGTGGTATCCATAGTTCCTGCGAGAAAAACCTCACGTACAATTTTCCGTATGGAGCGAACGGCATAGCAAGCTCGGAACCGAGATGTTTGGCTACAATGTTCACTGGCCTATCTGAATAGATGGCAGAACGACGCTCCAGGAGTTCCGTAGCTGCGACTTTAGTGGTAAGAATCACGACGTCCTTCCCTGCCAAGTTTAAGTATACAATCGGGCCTTTCAGTATCGAGGTGTAGAGTACGAAGATCGTCAGCGAATATCTCACACAAAATGTGGCGGCCTACACACCGTATTGAGATTTCAGCTTATCAAAAGTGTACCACAATGGTTGTGACGCTTCAAGTTGGAGGACATTTCCCAAGATAGGCAATCCACGAGGACCTGGCGGGAGCGCTCTACGGTTCCAAGCGTTGATTACTGTTCGAATGAACAGTAGAATAACAGCAAAGATGCCAGCGAAAGAAGAGATATTCATCACTGCAATGGGTCAGTGGTTGGGCAGTTTGAACGAGCAACAGGAGACATACCTAGTAGGAATGGCGTGAAAGTTCTGGCCTTCCTTGAAACCCCTCATTTATCATTACTTATATGCAATATCCGCTTGGATATCAGTACAAATCAGGAAGGGAACAGTCTGATAGAAAATATTGCTATGCAGTTGTGATCTAGCGTGATAAGCAAATCGCTCCGGTGCTGAGTTCGTAGAGCGCGCAAAGCTAAGCCAGATGAGATCAATGCATTCGCATTTTACAACAAGGCGCCGCAGCGCATCAACCTTTGGAGCTTGGCCGACGGGGACCAGAAGAGAACAAGTGTATGTACATACATGTCCGAGTGATGATCGAATGCCTGAGGACTCAACTTGAAGAGGAGTGTTAGCACTACAGAGAACAACGATGCATTATCCGTACCTGCAACACGAGGAGTCTAAGGTGCCCAAGTCCGAATATCTTACAGCCTAGATGTTTCTTGCTTTCTCGCTTGCATGACCACATGCGACCACATGCGAACATGTAAGACAGAAGTCACAGAACTATGAATCAGATAGGCGGAGCTTTAAGCATGTTGATAAAAGGGTAATTTGGGAAGGAATGGGATTGGGGTCCGGGGAACTGCTTGGAAGAGGCGCCTGGTGGCACAGGGCTGGCCCCTGGGTGACGACTGGTGACGATGAAAGGTTGGCTACTTGGAAATCAGCGTGCTAATCAAGAACAATAAAATGAATACATCAATTGAAGTCCCGCAACTTGCTCCAGGCACCCTATACAACGCTAGCCAGGGCCTGCAGCCTCCTGCATTGCCAGTTGGGCGGCGGGGCCATGTTTTATGTAAGGTCCCGACTAAGGACGTCGCTAGGTCTCGGTAGTTAACAGGGGCACCCGACCGAGTCTCCCCAGGTCTCCCCTAGTTTCCGAAAAAAAACAGAGCAGTTGTAAGTCATCCAGTGAGTACCGAACGATAGCCTACAGTAGTAGGCGCGTATGAGTGAATGAGATATCAATGACATTGATATTCATGGTAGAACTCGTGGTGGCGGCCGTATCTCATCCTTGATGTCAATCACGATTCCACCCATTCCAATGCAGCACCAAGTCAACGTGACAAGTATCAGTATTTTTCGTAGCTTTAAGCTTATTTATTGGTGAGCATCATTCGTATAGTAGCTTGGGGCCATACACACCGAAAGATGTGCTATCAGATCGCGCGTCCGAACTTGAGAACAGCAACCGGTGGCAAATCATGCATGGAAGGCGTAGTGCGAAGTAGTGTTGCCGCAAAGCGAGGTCAAGTGCGGCGTGAGGTGTGAATGGTTATGCCTTAAGGTGCCTTAAGGCCAATTTTTCGAAGCTCAACTCAAGGTCATTGATCTCGGTTTGATGTCCATGGCAGCGGCACAGCGGCAGTCAGCACTGAGTTACTGTAGAGGTGTAGCAGACTAAGTAAAGCCTTAATAGTTAGAGGTTGAGTGTCGCCAGTCAGTCTCTTTGGAGAAGTACCAGTTTGGTTACAAAATGTAGCATAAGATATTCAAATGTACTGGATTCTAATGAGAACGAGTGCGACTTTTAGTGAGAAGCCTCCCTTGCAAAGCAAAGAACTCTCGATATTCCTGTAGCTCCTCCTCTGCTTTGCTGGCTGCCCTTTGTGCTGTGTCACGTTCCAAAGCTGCTCTATCCCTCTCTGCCTCCACTGAAGCCAAGTCATTCCTTGAACAGTCACGCTCCACCCGCAAGCGTAGTTCTGTCTGATTGAACTTCTGCTGTTTCGTTTGAATATCATCTATCAACTCCTGCCGACTCGTTCCAAGTAGTTGAAGCTGCTCTTGGCTCGAAGCAAGCTGCGCCTCAGTGATTTGGACCCTGTTCTCGAGAGTTTTGATTTCATACGACTGTTTCTTGAAAGCCAGCATGAGCTCATCGTACTCTTGGCGTAAGTTCCGTTGAATCTGAGCACGTTCTTTTCATGTGTAAAGCGCAGTTAGAAACATTGACATCCTTGAGATTGAGCCTACACACCATTGATAGGTAACTGACTCTCGGGCTCCTCCTCTTCCTCTGGCTCTTTGCTCTCAGCAGGTTCGGGC